GAGCTTGTTCTGACCGCTTTTCTTCAAAAAAATTTCCTCTAGTGCCTTCCACAATTTACTTGCAGAAGTTTCCTTAGAAAATGCATACTTCTGCTCTCTAGAAAGACACGATCGAATAGTACCACATGCCAATCTATTGATCCTCTTCCATTCTTTCTCCTCAACATCATTTGGTTTCTCTCCTTCAATAGCAATGTCTAGACCCTGCTGAAATAGGGCATCTAGAACCTCACTTTGCCACATGCCGAAATGACCGGTGCCATCAAAAATCTCCACTGCAAATCTAACATTTGTCACAGCTGTTGACGACGATGTGGATGCTTTTGTTGCGTCAGCCATTTCTGCTACAAATTCTATTTAATAACTGTCAATGCGAAATGCCAATTATCCCAAGGAAATTTTTTCTTATGTGGAAGATCAGCCTAAGCCGCAACCACATAGCATACTAAAATAAACCAAGAGCGCTGATACCAATTGTTGTGAAATTCGTGTTAATTTCCACCAATAATAACAAATTCACCTTGAAAACTATTATCTAGGTGACTAGTGTGAAAACGATTGTACTAAAAATCACCCCAAGGTAGATTCCCAGGAAAGAGTAAGGGTCACAATGGTCCCTCTTAAAATCCACTTTCCTTAGACAGAACTACCAAGATAAGTAATTTTAATAAGACAATAATTAACAACAACTATACCCGACAATAGCTATGAAATAGACATAAAGAGAACACCAAAATTTAACGAGGTTAGACCAAAATTATGCCTACCTCCTCGAACACTACTAAAATAATATTTCACTAATAGAGGAAATATTACAAAGAGAGAAAGAGTACAAATAACCTTTAATAGTGAAGAAGGCTTATATTTGTGGGATAATTAACTAAGGAGGATGATGACTCTATTTATAACAAAATAATTTTCCCTCCTCGTTATACACAACCAATGTGGGACTTTGTCAAAAAAACCAATAATAGGCACAATTAATGTTCATGGTAATTCACAATAACATGTTCACTATCCTTGTTTATTTTTCTTTTATCTTGTGTACCATAATAATAAGTTCTGCTCTGCCTTGATTGTTCAATTATTTTTGAAGGGGCTTTGAGTTTACTTCATATAGTTTTCTTTTATAATATGGAATCAAATATTTCCAAGTAAATCAGATATGGGGAACATGATTTTAAGTGCAGAAATGAGGAACATATGCAATAAACGCGGCCGTTTGATCATCATTCAACACCTGATCTGGCTTGCATGCAAATCTAGCACGCTTGCATTACTCATTTATTCATTTGTAACAGGATGCGCAGGATTATTGCTACTATTTGTCATATTACCAGCATATTACTGGAATAATTGTGTCGTGCTGAATTACTGTCTTAAAAGTAAAATTGTTTTGATCGGTATAACCATGAAATTAGACAGTTTCTCCCTAAGGTTAAATACGATTTTTTTCAAAATCATATATCCTAGTTTTGAAGTGAAAGCCAATGGCATTGCTCTTTTCGAAAGAAAGAAACTTGGCACAAACCGAACCAGAGGACGACATATACGAGGGATATGTCTTGTTCTACTTAACAGAGAAGAAAAACAAAAATTCTACAAAAACTCATCTAAAAACCCTTTTGCACTCAATATAGAATAAATCCAACCTTACATTTCCAACACAAGCACATTAGTTTGCATTATAAGGAATCTAACAGCACTGCCTTGCGGAGACGAACATTGGTGTAAGATCCTATTAACCCGCTTGTTTTAGCATATTTTATAGCCATCACCTCTATTTTGAAAACCGGACCGGACCGGCCAGTTCAATCGGTTCAATCAAGAACCGTTATCTAGTCTGATTCAATCTAAATCGGTTGAACCGCTACTAGTGAACTGGTCAAAACCGCTGAACCGTTCGAACCGGACCAGCTGAAAACCAGAAATTGTTTTTTTAAAAAAAATTAAACCAAACGTCGTTTGTTAAACGAGCCAAGTCGAACTCGAGTATTGTTGAGCTCGACTCCAACTTGAAAACTTTAAAAGTAAGCTCAACTCCACTCAAACTCACAAGTTAAAAATTATCAAGTTCAACTCGAAATATAATATTGAAACTTGAACTCAAAAAGACTTGAACTAAAAAAAAAATTAGAAGCTCAATTGAAGCCTAAAATTCGAGCTTGATTGAAGTGAAAGAATAGTTCACTCAATGCTCACCAAAAGGCTCCATGATTTTGAATGTCAAATTACCTCTATTATTTATAGAAGTTAGTTGTGATGCTCTTCTATGTTTCTTAGCAATGTGGGATTGTTTTGTTCTCATATTTTTACTCTTTAGACTTTTGGGATGCTCTTCTATGTTTCTTAGCCATGTGGGATTGTTTTTTAAAAAAAAATTAAACCAAACAATATCATTTTGTTATGATTTTTTTAGCCTCAAATTTATTTTTTAATTATAGTTATATAATTATATTTATTATTTAATATGTTTTACCTTAAATATTATGTTGTAGTTAATTTGAATCATTTTGTTTCACTTGATTTTATGGTTTTTAATTTATATATGTTATAACTTGCTTTGAATATGACTTGTGATATAAAAATTATTTTTTATTAAATATTTTTGGTATTTTTATTTAATTTTTTAAATAATTATGACGTCGTTCGGTTCTTCCGACCGTCGGACCGGTTCTTCTGACCGGTCGAACAATTCGACCGATTAAACCAATAAACCGATAGTATAGCCGGTTCGCTAACCGGTCCGGTTCCGAAAATAATGACCATCACCTGAGAACTTTACTCCTCTGATGCAATGTCTGTTGTCAGCTTGTGCCTTAGGGGATTCTTTTTCTGTCTACCTCTACAAGCAAAATGTTGGGCCTTATAAAACCTAGCATATTGTTATATTCTAAATGTTTTTAGCTCATCTGAATTCGACTTAAAAAGCAAATCTCTTCATTCAACCCGAATCAACTTAATTAAGGTCTATGAAAATTCCACTCAATCAGAGACTCGATCTAAATTTCTAAGTGAAAATTTGCATACGCACTCAATCCGGTCCGATACAAATATATATATATAATTTATTTTTATTAAGTAAAATAATGACCTAATAAAAATAATAATATATGATTGTTATCCAAAATTAAGATGCCCAAATCTTAATACCCGGTTCTTCCATTTAATTTCAAATTTTATTTAATAATACATGACTGTTATCCTCAATTGACTTAATCTATATTTAACCTCATTGATAATATTATAATTTAACATTTGAATGAGTCAATCTCTTGATAACAAATTAGATCAAAGTATAACAAAAAATTCAAACATAGTTTAATAGATAAGAAATAAAATATATCAAAACTTTCCGAACTAAATTGAATAGATAGTGGATGTAGTCATCAATATCATATTGAAATTTTTGTAGAGAATCGTCATCAATCAGTAGTTAGATAATTGTGCAAACTCGTGTTGATAATGTATTCTAAATTATAGAATTTACAATAAGAACCGAATATAAATGAAACATAGATAAATAATAATACGAGCTTTACAAAATCACTAATTGCAAGACTAAAATCGTAGATATAAAAAATGTTACAAGGAAGTGAAAGATGAAGGGTACAGAGAAATGTAAGATGAAACGATGTTCACATTTAATATTAGGGTAAAATACATACTTTCATTGCTTAATACCCAAATAAGTTCCCAAATTATATCCTTTTTACTCAAATTAGTGCCTACAATATTTTTTTGGCCCATTCATGTGTCTAACGTTACAAAAAATACCACTTTAGGTGTCCGGGTCGTAACGGTCATTAGTTTTTTCCGTTAAGTGACACGTTTCACAATATGGTAATTTTGAATTTTTTTTAAATATTAAAAAATATTACTATATTTATTAAAAACCCCTAATTTCTTTTAAATTACAAAAAGCCTCAAAATCCCTAAAATCCACAAATCCTAACATAACCCGTCGTCGCCGCCTTTTTCGGCCACGGCCACCGCTGCCAACGTAGTCTCTACCATCATCCTAGTTATATGTTGTCGTAGTTGTCATTGATTGATCGTCGGAATCGTGTGGGATTGCAATTTTCATCCTAGGGTTCGCGGGGTATAAAACATTGATCGACGGAAAAGGGCGGCAGTCGGCGTGGGTTTAGGGGTTGAAATGAAGGTTTTCAAAGTTTTGGAGTTATTTCAAAATTTATGTGTTTTCTTTTTAAAAATATATATAATTTTATTTTTAAATTTTATATAATTTTTTAAAATATTATTAGATTGTGACACGTGTCACTTAATAAAAAAATTAACGTGGTTGATGGCTCGAACACCTAAAGTGATAATGTTTGTAACGTTAGACATCTAGATGGACCAAAAAATACAGTAGACACCTATTCGAGGAAAGAAGTATAGTTTTGACACTTATTTGAGTATTAAGCCTTCTTGTATTTAAAGTTGTTTAAAAGTTAAGTGATTACATTATATATAAATATAATTAATATTAAAGTACACTAGAGGTCACCAAATTATGTTCAAATAATCATTTTGATAATTAAATTTTCAAAAGTTACAAAATGATCATTTCATAATTTTTGAAAGTTCAATAACCAAAACGATCATTTGAACATAGCTCAATGACTTTTTGATATAATCTACCCTTAGCAATATTATATTTATGACTTCAATTTAATTCATGGAAAACCCTTTTTTTATTAATCTGAAATAAATATAAAAATAATGTTTGTTTAAAGATAATTCTTAACCATTTGACATTAAACGTTTATACCCTTGATATTTATGATGTTTGAACTCGATATCTCAAATAAAAATAATAATTCATTTACCACCGAGATCATTTGATTATGCTGAAAATCCGTTATTTTAATTTGTTTCAATTAGAAAGCACCAAATATTAGATGGGGAAACCTATGAAAAAGATGTGTGAACCGACGTACTCTTCCACGTATAATACAAAACCGCCCACTCATATTTTCGTGCAAAATAAGCAAATGGCTTTCCAAAGGAGAAACAAACAGCCTCAATCCCATAGAAACTTCCGGCCGAAAGCCCATTTTATTGGTCAAATTCACCAAAAGCCCCTCTCTAGAAACCGCGTCTTCCTTCTGTCATCTTTTGTTCTTTTCCAATTCTTCGATGAATATGATATATCTAGAGATTTAAAATTTTATAAGTTTGTTTCTCGTATGAAATTTTGTTTCTATCTCCGTACATATCTTTCTTGAACAACCCAGTTCCCCAAACTTCACACTTTCTTTTCTTTGTTCATATTGCTTTTATCCCATTCCATGTCCTTTGTTGATTAGTTTACCGACTATGCAAATGCAGCCTGGTTCGGTTTTTTCAGTTTCCCCGAGCTCTCCGAGCCTCAGTACTCACTCTTCATAACGCAGGCTGGCTGAGATCGCTGCAAGAGTTGTTGAGGAAGACGATGATTTCGAGTTTGCATTCGTGTGTCGAGACCCAGAGATGTCCCCGGTGTCGGCGGATGACATCTTTTACAACGGACAAATCAAGCCCACGTATCCAGTTTTCGACACCAGCTTGCTCAACAACATTGATCAAACTCCTAATGTGAAACCACGGTCCCGTCGTTTACCATTGATAGAACTCATGAGCGAAGAACGCGAACCTGGTGAACTCGACAGGGTGACGCCGGGGACTTACTGTGTCTGGACACCAAAGTCAGAAACATTGGCAAAGATTGATACCGGAAGATACGATGAGAGCGATTCGAGTGGGACTTTGTCGACGAAGAGATGGAAGCTTAAGGACTTGATTTATACAAGTAACAGAGACGGTCAATGTGGTTCTAACCGAGATGTGAAAGCAGGGGACATGAAAAGATCTCTTATGCCTAACAGGAAAGACTTGGTGGGAATATTTTCTAATATCAATGGCTTGAGCAGGAGGTTGCATCCATTTTGAATATGATTAGTATTTGCATGTATAGGATATGATTATGCTATCGAGAATCAAACTTTTACTTATTTCTCCTTGCTGGTTTGAATTTGATAGTTTCTCCTTTAGAAAGTAAATATGATTACGATGGGATAAATCATCAACCCTTTGCTTTCTGGTTCTATGCATCATGTTCATATGTTTAAACATTACGATAATTCTCTATGTTTTGTATTTAATTACTATCATTTTAAACACGAATTAAACGATTTTAATAATTAAAAGAATTATTATGTTCTGTTAAGATTCTGAATTCAAATTCGTCGTTCGTAAGGTGTTAACTGGTGGCTACGCAATCGAGATCTTTGGGGGTGTTGCAAGGTTTGAATTCTAATATCAACCCCACAAACAAATGTGTCATTGAAATATGATGACACCAAGTCATTCAAAGAAATTAATTATAACAGATTAAAATTAAAAAATTCACATTTGAACTTATCAAAAGACTTTAGTGATCAAATGTAATGTTGATTTTCTTAGAAATTCAAGGTTCAAATAGTAACATTTGTTAGTCGTGTGTTGTTAATAGAATTAAAAAGCTATGAATAGTCTATTCAAAAAATTAAAATTAAATTATCATTAATAAGAATAGATATTTTATCCGAACTCGACGAGTTATAATCTGAACTCGATAAGTTATAATGAAAAGAAATTGTACTCGTCAGATTCTTTTTGGATCAGAGAAACTGCGAACTAATTTGCTTTCCCAAATGAAGATAAACATCAACCAATTAAATTAGATTAGATTAAACATCAAATCATTACGGCATCGGCATGCTTATGACTACAATTACCTAACAAATGATAAAGTTCCCATCTTTTCTGGAATCCAACTATTCAATCTAAAGCTGCAACCAAAACTAATGAAGAATCCTTTCAACATTTTTTAAAGAAAAAAATGAGTTCCTGGGTAATGACGGAATTAAGATCAAACATTGGAAGTGCCTAAAGTTCAATGTGGATGGTGAAGATAATGTGAGCAAAATTAGACTTTCGATTTTTTTTTAAGTTTGAGTTATTTAAATTGAGTTATTTAACTCAACTTGAATTATCGAGTCAGTTTTCGAATTTGAATCGAGATAAAATTTTAAAATTCGAGTAACTAAAAAAATTGATAATTTGAATAAATATTTGCACAGATTTATTGTTTTGTCCCTGATTTCCTATTCCTTTAATTTCTTCTTCATTTTAAGTTATTTTTTATCATCTTTGAATCACATGCTCCTAAACCATCATAGAATATCTATGTACTTTCATTTTCTCTTTTTGATAACAAATTTTCTATGTTTTCAATTTAGTCCATCAATTTTACATAATTTTCTTATTTCTTCAATTCATCATTCATTTTAAGTATGTTTTTTTACTAAATTTGAACCACTACCACCATAAAATACCTATATAACATCTATTCATACTTTTTTTTACTTAAAATGTACTCTCTTTTTTAGTTTAACCCTTAACTTTATATTTTACTCAATTTAATCTTTTTGTAACCCCCTCAGATCGATACGGGTGGCCCGGTCCGATCTAGGGTGTCACAGTAGGGCCACCGGAGCGACCCACCGTAAAAATCCAGGAAAAATTAATTTTTTTGTTAAAACATGTAAAATCATAAAAATAATTTTTAAATACAAAAGTAAAATTTTCTAATATTCAGAAGTAAAACAAATTTTAGACTTATATATATATAACAAAATACAACCTACATGCCCCTAATCACATGCACCGTACTCCGCTTGCAGTGCAGGAGGAACTCTTTTTCTGATGTTGATAGTTCCACTGATCCAATCCTTTTAACCTGAAATAGTGAGTAACAAAGTGAGCTTTGGAAAGCTCAGTAATACAAAACTACCAATTGATGCTACAAGACATGCAGACAAATGAAAGCAATAAAATTTCCTTATTGACTCAGAAGTATACATGTTTTCGGGATAAATTGTGGTCCACTGGTATTTCTTCGAGTAACATGCATGAAGATTTCAGTTAAGAGGAAGCATTCAGAGAACCAGGTTCAGGAGATTAGAAAAACGTGTCTAGTGTGTTCCAACCAAAACCAGTGAAAATATATAAATCTTTTTTAAAATAATAATTGTTTAAAACATGTTTTCAAAACCATAGTGGAACCCTCCAACCGTACATCGTTATATAGTTCCCCAGAATTGCATCCATAAGGGCTTACCCTAAGCATACAACAAAGGAAGCCACCCTAAGGGAATGCCTTGGGGCCCGAGAGCCTACCCAAGAAAGTTACTCAGGGCCACGAGGCCTACCCAAGAATGATCTCGGGGCCTCAGAGCCTATCCAAGGGTTGTCTTAGGTCTGTAAGGATTTACCAGCTGGATCAGGGCTGAATCTCCATACTCCATAATTTTACCCATATAAAATCCAGTAGAAATCAGTTTTAACAGTAAACCATAATATCTGGATCGTGATCTAGTAAAATCTCATAAACGTGACAATAGAATAAACCATATAATTGTCCTCCACCTGTACACCATATATAGTCCCATTATTAACCCAAGGGAGTGCCTTGGGCCTGAGAGCCTACCCAAGAAAGTTTCTCGGGGCCTCAGAGCCTACCCAAGGGTCACCTTAGGTCTATAACGATTTACCAGCTTGATCAGAGTTAAACCTTCAACCTACCCAGATAAAGTCCCAATAAACAGTTCAAGTATAACCAGTGAAAACAGAAACCATAGTTCATAAACCAGTAAATTCCATGATTCCATAAATCAGGAACAATCATATTTTTCAGCGAAAATCGAAATCAGAGAACACATACCATGTAGCCATAGTTCATAAGCCAGTAAATCAATAAATTTCGGTGAAACATATTTCATAACATATAAAACAGTCATGTAATACATGTGGAACACACTAGAGGATTCAAGTATTTTTCAGAGGTACTTTGTAATTATCAAGAACGAAAAACATGAAACTTATACAATTTTATCAGATTTCAGGAACGAGGTCCTATTGAAACGGATCAATTACTAACGGATCTATAAGACATTTAAAGTTGACACTTTAAGGCCCCTTTATGGTTCAGGTGCATCAGGAAGGTGTTCAGGAACATTTACATCAGAATAATTCAAGATTCAATTTTCACTGAGAGCAAATCCCATTATCCAGGCCAACAAGGGCATTTTAGACATTATGATATCTAGTGGATTCTTAGCAACTTAATCTAATAAGGATGAATCGATGATTCATGGTATTCAAGATTCATAACAATTTATTAGGATACTGGATTGACTCAAACTAATCATCTTCAGAATCATTGTTGAACGGAGCTTGAGGAACTCTACTTATTCATGTGGTATTAGCTCAATTTATGAACCGCAACAATCGCCAAGATGACTAACACACTTGAGTCATACTCCCCAACCTTTAGTGCGATACAATACTTAGGTTTTCTTGGTGTTCCCAGAATTTATCCAATAACAATCACTCATTTCCAAGTCATGAGGGTATTTAGGTTATTTAGTAGTTAAATCCATCTAGTCACTTCGGAGTTTTCCAGAGTAATTCGGATGTTTCTGAAATTTAGATACATATGGTACTTCTGTTCAGTTTAACTTGGTCATATAATAAAGTCATTTAGGTATTCTAAGTCGATTTAATCATTTCAGAGCTTGAAGGTATTTAGTTATTCCATGACTTGGAGATACTTTAGGTTATTTTACACTTTAGGGGCATTTTGGCCATTTTACACATTAGCGGCAATTCCGTAATTCCAATATAGATCCAAAATTTAAATCGATGATTCCAATGTTCAAGTGGATCAAGATATGAGTTCTCAGATCGTTTCCATTATCAAAGTCATCCATTATGCTTTTTACACTATAAGTGTATCATCGTCATTTCATTCCAATCTGTCTGTGACATTACTTTTGATATATTAGGCTTCAAGTATTATAGTTTCTTTAGAGTTCAGGGTATTTGTTCCTTTGATTAGTGGAGGTTATTATAGTTATTACGAAGCTTGGGGACATTTCAGTAATTCCTTTCAATTCAATCATATGCAATATTTCTGATAACTGGTCAAGTATGTCTTTTTGGGTTATCTTTTACCATCCGGGGAAGTCTTGGTATTTTACAATACAAGGGCACTTTCATAATTTTACCCTATAAGGCTATTTTTAGTAATTTCTTATCCAAATAATCCTGGTATTTAACATTTAAAAGAATTTATCAAATTTTACGGATCTTGAAATCAAATCAATTATTATTGAAACACTGAACTTATAATTATTTCTGATCGATCTTTCATTTCTCTTTTTTAAGCCTTCTGAGTCTTATACCGTGTTTTGTCCTTATTCCAATTTACGTCTGAGTCCAATGATAGTTAAATAATCTAATAGACCAATCATTTTCATTCATGCATTTACCAGTTCTGAAGAGCATACAAAAGGCAATAGAGTATTACCTCTGTTTTTGTGCCATATCGATCGACTATTTAATCCTCATTCGATCACTATCGAACTTGAATTCAATGCCCAATAATTCCTTTGATACATAGCAAACGAATTAAAATCAGAAACTGAACTTAATCGAAAAACTAACTTGAATCCGAAGATAAATCATTAAAAAACGACTTACCAGGTGTGAATTTGGCAAAACAGACTTCAGATTCAGACTCGGGATGTTGAAAAACATAAAATAGAGCTTTTCAAAAAAATTAACTTTTTTGGTCAAAGTCAAAGTAAACAGTTAACGATCAGACCGGTCAAAGTCAACAGTCAGACCGATCAAAGTCAACGGTCAGACCGGTAAACGGGTTGACTCAGTCAAGTCAATGAGTTGACTTAATGAGTTGACTTAGCCGAGTTGACTCAGTGACTGGACCGGACCAAGCGGGTCAGATTATGCGGGTCGGGTCGACCCGATTTTGGAAAATTCCTTGGACCAAAAACAAGCCTCATATGCATGTGGTGGTGTGTGGCAGCACGTACAACAGTGACAGAGGTTGAGGTGGTCGGTCAATCACTCCCAGAGCATCCAAA